ATCCTAATATTTAGTAAATAATAGGACTTTTTCTAAAATTCAGAAATCTAGTAATTAAGCCCTCCTTTGACTCACAAGGGAGTCTTTAACCGGTACTGTAATTGGGAACTTGATCCTGTCATTTTTTGGAAGACCGCCATGAAGCCTAGGAGTCACATGTGCATACTCCCTTACTGAGGCCATGACAGAGCAGAGCTTTCTGCTGATGAGCTCAGACGGTAACCCAAGCAGTGGGTCGGAGATTTGAAGGCTCCACCAATTCTGGGAAGAGGACTGGCCTGTTACAGATGAGGAATTTACAGATTGAGCTGGTGCAGCCTCTTGCCTTACACAGCACATTCCCAGGAAGAGCTAACTACTGATTAGTTGTTGTGAAATCAGATGATGAGATGAGAAGTCGGAAAGCTCCAGTCCCCAGTCCTCATCGCAAGCCTGTATCTCCAGAGCGGATGGGAAAAGTAAGTTTTCAACAGGCATCACAAAAAAACTAAGGAAGTTTGTTGAAAGTTTATATTTAACTTCAGAACATACTGAAAAGGATGTTTCACCGTTGTGTAAACATTGCTACTACTCTCCGTTAGAATCTCAGGTTAGCAGAGCCTGGAAGTATGAGCCATCTTCCACCTCACACCTGTTCCCCTGGAACTGGAGCCACTTGCTTCCACACAGGAGTGAGGAAGCCACCAAATGATCTAGCTGACAGCTGACTCTGGCTCTCCTCTTCAAGTACTGAATAATCTAAAAAGAAAATTCCATTACATGGAAATGTGCAGAACTAGACCTTGCAGGAACAAAATGATGTTGGTTGAATTAAAGGCAAAAAGAGAGAGTAGAATCAAATGAAAAAAATGAGTTCAACGGCAACAGACTTATTTCTTGTTCCCACCTTTTCCATTGCTCTGTCTTGTAAAGCAAATTGCTAGTTTACCAAATTCACCGATTCATAAAAAAAATTCAGTTTTTATGCCACATCAACAAGCATGCTAGAAAGCACTGATGAAACATTTTTCTGATGTCTGTGATGGCCCCAGTGCTGAGGCATTTCTCACACACATTCAAAAACTGTGAAGTGCTACCATTCCTGACTCACGGATAAGGAAACAATGGCATGGAAATATTTAAGAACCTGATTGAGCCACTCACACCAGGAATTCCAGGTTACTATCGCTACTGCCACCTTTAGAATGATGATCAGTGCGATTTTTCTCATGCTTGCAGTGAAAAGGAAAAAAAAGAGAGAGAGAGACATTAATATGCCTAAATAATAAAATTGTGCTTAAAATTTAAGGGCTCAGCGCAATAGCCTAGCAGCTAAAGTCCTCGCCTTAAATGCTCCGAGATCCCGTATGGTTGCTGGTTCTAATCTCAGCAGCCCCACTTCCCATCCAGCTCTCTGCCTGTGACCTGGGAAAGCAGTAGAGGACAGCCCAAAGCCTTGGGATCCTGTACCCACATAGAAGATCTGGAAGAGCTTCTGGCTCCTGGCTTTGCATCAGCGCCGCTCCGGCCATTGTGGTCACTTACGGAAGATCTTCTTCTCTGTGTTTCCTCCTGTCTGTATATCTGACTTTGCAATAAAACTCAATAAAATTGTTTTAAAAAATTCAAATTCATAGGCTTCTCCAAATATTGTCCACTCTAAATAGGATTTACTATAGGACTCTCTAAAGCCACAAACTAAGTAATGATAACATGAGTTTCTTTGATTGGGTATATGAATTGGATAAATTATACTGATTCTCCCTTCTTAATACTACAATTGAAAGTTACATAAGAGTATAGCAATCAGAGGTCAAAACAGTACCACTTAGGTGGGGGTGGTATAAGCAATTGGCTGCACAATCTTCCTAATACCCAATCACCACTGCAAACCCATCCCCGACCCCTCAACTCAGGGACAGTCACCTTTCTGCTCTAGATGACAGCGCAGGAGTTGAAATGGATGATGCTCTTGTCAGGTGAGCCCCAAAGACACAGAAGGAAGGCCATAAGGCATGCGAGCTGCTTCCTCACCCCAGCCCCCTCCTCCTGTTCAGGGTCATGGTGGGATTTACAAATTCGTACCACTCCCTGTGGCATTACAAGATCTCACTAAATAGGCTTCACCACCCTTCACATATAGACACTACCTACAGGACCAGACTGTCATATGCTCCATTCTCTTCATTTTAGTTATGTTGAGTCTCAGCACTTCATCGCATGGTAGTTTTATTCTTAACAACACGTAAGTCATACAAAGTGAAATGATACTGGCCTGCTGTGGCAAAAAGCCAAAACTAAAAAAAGGCAAAACTTCATTGTCACGTTGTATGTGTAAAATAGATGAATACAATATGAACACATACGTAAACCATATGAAAATGCCCAATAGTGACTCGGATCAATGAATTAGTAGCCGAGGTTCTATTTCCAACTCTGAATAAAGGAAAGCCTCGGGCTGACTCACTGCACCACAGGCATGGTGACTCAGCAGGGAGACGGACCACCTGGGAACAGGTAGGAAGAGGAAGCAGGATGGAAAAGGCTGGCAGATGACACAGCATCCCTGCTGGATAACACCCTCTTTAAAAACCTTCCTGTAAGAGGAGCCGGAACCTGGCAACATTGAAACAGTGTGGTTGAGGGACTCTCCTCCCCCGGTCACTCCCACTCTGGGAGATGGGGCTCAGTACTCCCATCAAACTGCCAGCTGCAGGAACCACTGTGAGAGAGTGACTCCTCCACTGTTGTGGATTATTTAAGCATCAGGGTTAATTTCTTGTGTCTCCATGGTGTATGCTATCTAGAAAAGATTTCTAACTTTCATTTGGCCAGAACTCACCCATTCTTAGGAAGGGTCCCAGCTGGAACCAATTCCAAACTACTGTCTCTCACAGGGTGTTCCCTTCTTGTTCGGCCACTTTCATCCTCAGCACTTGGATTCTAAGTTCTTGAATCAAACCACCTAGAAGCTCCAGGCATCTTCTACCAAAACAACAACAACAAACACCATAAAGAGATCCGGGAACCTGAATCAGTCTAACCTGGGGTATAATTTATGACATAATTGGGGCTGAGGATGGAGCCCAGCGAATGCTCTTAAGTTATATACAGACTTGGTTGCATATGCTGTTTCTTCAGAAAGCACATGAAAACAGGTATTCTATTCTCAGAGAAGCCAAAAAGTTCAAATCCTGTTTTCCAAGATTCTAAGCAATTTTAATCACCTTCTCAGTTACTATAGTGAACCAGGCAACCATTTTTGCTTCAGCTCTATTTTCAAATAATAAAGATTACAATTGTGATTATATTTCCCATTGAAAATAAGTAAATCCTCTTTAAAAAAGGGGGGGAGGGTTAAATGTAGGATTCCAGCATTGTAGCACTGTGGTACCACACGGGATGCCAGCATCCCATATGGGTGCCAGTTCAAGATCTGGCTACTCCATTTCTGATCCAGCTTCTTGCTTTTGGCCTCGCAAACCACCAGAGGCTGGCCCATGCTTGGACTCCTTCACCAACATGGGAGACCAAGAAGAAGCTCCTGACTCCTGGCCTCAGCCTGGCCCAACTTTGGCCTTTGAGGCCATTTGGGAAAGGAACCAGCAGATAGAATCTCTCTTTCTCTAACTTTGATATTCAAATAAATTACATTTGGTATGTACTATCTACATTTCTTCTATATTTAGAAAATGTGGAAGCCTTTTACTATATCTTGACAATAGGATGCTGGACATTCTGCCATTGTCCATGCCCACAATGATGGACATATGACTGTTTATGAAGAACTATACTATAGTAATAATATAGGGGAACTCAGTGAGGGGGAAAAGGATTGGGGAAGTGGTAAGGGAAATCCCAGAGCCTATGGAATTCTATTATAAAATGATGATAATAATAATAATAGTAATAATAAAATGATTTAACATAAAAAAACAAAAATGTGGTTTTACTTTTCATTTTGTAATTTAAACTCCTAGGATCAAGGTATAAAATGGTAATTTTGCATTAATTTGCTTTTAGCTTAGTTTTAAAATTTAATTCAGTATTTGCACTTGCTAAAAATTTTTAAATTTTAGAGAAACAGCCTTTTAAAAGCTCTTGAGAAATAAAGTTGTTGTTTAGTAAAAAAAAACTTAATTAATTAATTAATTAATCTTTTAAGATTGCTTTTAAAAGATTCATTTATTTTTATAGCAAAGTCAGATATATAAAGAGGAGGAAAGAGAGGAAGATCTTCTGTCCGATGATTCACTCCCCAAGTGACTGCAACGTTCGGTCTGCACCAATCTGAAACTAGGAGCCAGGAATCTCCTCCAGCTCTCCTAATGTGGGTGCAGGGTCCCAAGGCTTTGGGCCTTCCTCAACTGCTTTCCCAGGCCACAACCAGGAAGCAGGATGGGAAGTGGAGCTGCTGGGATTAGAACCGGTGCCCATATGGGATCCCAGTGATTCAAGGCAAGGACATTAGCCACTAAGTCACTGTGCCAGACCCAAGATTTTTAATGTGAAAAATTGTAAATGTGAAGTTAAATGGCAGTTTTGATAGAAAATTTTAGTGATTTAAGGTGTAAATTGTTCTAGGTTTTAAGCTAGCTTGATGTCATTTTATATTATATCATGGAAGAGAAATTTGGACACAAAATTTACTGAGTAGTAATTAATTCTCATAAGCTACAGTGAAAACTATAGTCATTGGTGCATAAGACTGAAGCTGAATATTATCGAAATACGTGTTTAATTAGAATTGTCTTGTCACACTACATTTCTGTTACCTAACACTTATTTCCTTCAGGACTAGAAGAAAAAAGTTTCCAGAAATAAATGGATCAATTTTTTAAAAAAAAATCAAGAAAAAAATCAACAATCTAAATCTTACAGTTAACACCCTAAATTCTTATTCTAGTCTAGTTGGCTTGGGGCAGGCCAGAAAGAGCTTCAGACTTACCAGGAGAAAGGGGAACTTTGAACAAAAATTTAAAACAATAAAAAACTAATTTAATAAATATCTTTTGCTTTAGATCAAAGCTGTAAAAGTCTATGCAGAGAAGAAAAAGAAATATATATTAAAGAAGGAGTCTTCTGAGTTGGCACCATGGCTCAACAGGCTAATCCTTCACCTGGTGGCACCAGCATCCTGCAAGAGCACCCGTTCATGTCTCAGCTGTCCCACTTCCAACCCAGCTCCCTGTAAATCCTTTTATACCTCACAGAGATCCTGGAACAAATACCCTTGCAAGTGTGAAACACCACAACAGAGGTTCTTAAAAATGAGCACTTTTAAGAGAATCTAGCTCCATGCTTCATGTTATACTCTAAATATGTAAAGAAAAAAACAACAAACTTTCCGGGATTTTGGAGTGCAAAGCATGTGAAACATCGTGACAACAGAGAATTCAAACATTGAAGTGGTTTTTCTGAAAAGGAGGGCTGTCCTGACATCCTGCATGCTGAGATGAATCACCACTGCAAACTACACAGGACCAGGAATCAGAATCAGAAGTAGGAAAGCACACATGCTCCAATTTTTATATGCTATAAATTTCTGAGTCTCCTTATATTTTAAATCTTCATTTTGTATGTTTCTAAAGTGTTCAGTAATCGAGGAACAAGACGGGAAGCTGACACCATACTGCACTGGTACATAACGGCCTCTCAGAAAGATGTGCTAAATGCTATAAATTCAATGAAACAGAGGTGTTCAACTAGATAAACTGAATTTATTCACCAGTTCCATTAAAAGAGAGGTGAGTGGTTAAGCAAAAACACCTCTCTGCTTTCTCTTGTCTTTACCCGTCATTGGCTTTAATGGCTGTGTCAGTCGTGCACATCAGAACATAAAAGGCACAATAAGAGTGTCCAACGCAAGCTGGAGGGAGCAGAGATTTAAAGGCAGTGCGAAGGGAAACCATGAGGCGACGTTGAGAATTGCAGAAACCCGGTGAGCTCAGATAATATATTACCAGGGAGAGCCAAGCATAACCAAAAAAATTGAAGGAAGATGACAGGGAAGAAATATTACCTAAAATACTAATGTGCCTCTGCCTCCCACAAACCCCCGCCCCTGAGGTTCTGGTGAAGCTATGCTTAAATAAGCTAGAGAGAATTCATTGTGAATTTGGAGTTCAGAGTACAAGATAACATGAATAAAGAGATGAGTGCCGGGCTACCGGAACTGATGACAAATACATTCCCAGGCAATCCCTGGGGCAGGCAGAATACACTAATTACCTGTGGTGCTCCAGAGGCCTCAAAGGCATAATGGCTGCACAGGGGGAAGAATGCGATAGCTCTTGGCCACCTCTTGGGTCAGCACCATTACCACCAGCCCAGTGAGCTCCATTACTGGCATTCCCTTCCCAGATCTCATGCCCCTGAGCTGTTTTGGGGTCTTCAGGGAAACAATCATTAAATCCCTATCCCCAAATCGCCAACTGATCCCCTAGTTATGCACAGAAATAATGAGGGGATTGTAAGAAGTTAGTGGAAATGAAATTCAAAATGAAATTTATCTTGGTGCAAAATCATTTTGAAACCTGTGTAATTTTCTCATAACTTTTTTATGAATATTTTCCATGAATATTTTTGATGACCCAGGGAGGGCCCAGGAGATGCAGTGAATACTGTGACAACTCCCCACAGATGCATTCATCCATTCACTGAATAAAGATTTCTTAAGCACTAAGTGTATGTAAGGCTTTCTGTTGAAACACCAGATCAAGACCCAGAGCCAGTAGGGAGTCCTGAAAGGCTGCGAAGAAGCTCTGAATGAGCAGAATAAAGCATCACACGGCCCGGCGCACTAGCCTATCAGCTGAAGTCTTCGCCTTGCACACACCATGATCCCATACAAGTGCCGGTTCTAATCCCAGCAACTCTACTTCCCATCCAGCTCCCTGCTTGTGACATGGAAAAGCAGTTGAGGACGGCCCAAAGCCTTAGAACCATTCTCTAGCGTGGGAGACCCAGAAGAAGCTCCTGGCTCCTGGCTTCAAATAGGCTCAGCTCCAGCCGTTGTAGCCACTTGGGGAGTGAATCAGCAGATGGAAGATCTTCCCCTCTGCATATCTGACTTTCTAATAAAAATAAAATAAATCTTAAAAAAGAGAGAGAGAAAGAAAGAATTATGGACAACTAAATGGCTCCTAAAGAATGGAGAGAAGTCGCCAGGGATGCTAAACAGGTGGAGAGTATTTCAGATGGAACCTACAATATCAGTAATAGACTGAAAGTAAATCATTACAAATGTTATGTGAAAGAAAACTATCACCCCATTATTTCTTCAAAGGTGTTTCTTTTGGCTCTGAATTCCTGTGATTTTTTTTAAGGTATCATGATAAACATTTACACATCCCACAGTGCTGGTGGCCAGCTCATGCACCCCCACGCTCTGCTACCTGGATGGCCTTTTCAACATTTCTTGGTTCCTTTACTTCCTCAGAACCTGCTGTCTCATATCACTATGACTTTGATTCCCCTTCTCATTTGTCTTGGTCCAGGGCAATAGCTTTCATTTCAATCCCATTCTCTTCTATACTTCATGACCAAAAAGAAGAAAACAAAACACAATAAATGAATGAAAAACAGTCAAAGAAGGCTTTGCCTTTGGGCCCTTCCTAACTACTTACTTGGTGCAACAACAGATTTGACCTCCTTATGATACAATCTCATTCCCTCTGTTCAGCCATCCTGGTCAAATTTGCAAGAGTTTCCAGGTCTCTGTTTCCTCAGTCGTATATGCCACCCATTGCAAATGACAGATGATAGTCTAGGAGGATGGCCTAGGTTCTTATAAATCAGAACCTTAAATTTAGTGGAGGAAAAAAATACTGAATAAGTTTACAAGAAAAGCAATACAAGTTAGAGTGATATGTGTAGCCATTTCACTCTGTCATAATTAATTTATAGTTATACCCCAACATTTTAAAGGTCATCAATACTTACTGTTAGAGCCATCTGTGTAATGTCCAGAGCTGGGTAGTTGTGCCAAGCTGGCCTAGAAGCACTGTACCAGGAGACAGGGTGCCAGTTTGTCCCAGCCTTGCTTGCTGCATTTTGGTAAACTTCTCAGAATGCTTTACCTAATTCTTCAGTGAGCATTGCATGCTTTATGTCTTGGTCACACTGAAGGAGAGAGAATGAAAGCAGAAGTGATTGAGAGTGCAGTGAGCCAAAGCTGAATGCCTAGCCATTTCCTCGCCTCTTGGAGAAGAAGGAGGTGGGCAGACAGGGAGAAGAAAGACTCACAAGCAAGTTCTGAGCTCTGGAAGTCTCAAGAGCTCTGTGTGAAGTAGGTGCTCTTACTATCCCATTTTACAGGCTTGTGAGATTGGGAACTTTCCCAAGAACACAGAGCTCACACTGGGCAATCTTGAGCTCTCCCCTTTCCAGCTGCAAATGCCATTCCCATAGTAGTCAGCCTCCTGGAAAACGTACTCACTCCATAAGACACTCTAACTAGGCTCCAGTACCCTGAGTGATTTTACTCCTAAATGTCTCTACGTTCCTGGCAGGAACCTTCTTGAAACTTCACCCAAATTACTAATTTTCTATCTGCCTACTACAATTGCCCTCTATGACAAACCCCAAGCAGGACAAGGCTCTCTTCACATGAATATATAAGTGAGACACTCAGAAACGCAACCAGGTTCACATTGTATCAAGCCTACTAGATTAAGTCCTTTCCTAAAAATAATCACAATAAAACGTGATTTTCTTTTAGAAATACTAACATCCATTGTTTTTTATTGCAATTGTTGTACTACTGCTACTATAATAAGGCAAGAATCACTTCCATGTGTTCATTTTTACTTACAAATTATAGCTACTTCAAAACTCTGCTTCTAAACTCTCCAGGAACTTTTGATTCAAATAGCTTTCATAAGTAATATAACCAGCTAAAGCTCCAGCTTTCTCATATTGCTAAACAAATATAGTTTTAATAAATTAAGTTTCCTGCAAATGCTTAGTATCATTTTTTAGAAAATGGAAACATCATTTCTGAGTTGTGATGAACATGTATTTTTTCTTTGCCATAATTGCAAAAGAAGTAAAGCACAAGGACTTTGGAGCCAGAATCCAACTACCCACTATCCAGCTGTCCTACTTTGGAAAGTACTTGGCATTTCTGAATTTCAGCCAAACAAGCCAATATTTAGGAGAGATTTTGATAGGAATCCAAAAAGACTGCTGCTAATCTGGAGGAGATAATTACCATAAGCAATCCCTCCAATTTAATGGGGAATTCTTACAAAGAAAAAAAAAATAGGTAATCTACAAATCTCTTTCAAGTGGAATTAAATTTTTATAATACAAAATTTAACAGTTAATGAAGATGATGTAGCACATTTCCAAGACATTTAAATATTTATTGCTTCAATCTTGCAGATTTATTTTAGCATGGTGATTCCATTTTTTTTCTTTCTGCACTCAAATATTTTTATTGGCCCAACTTGATAGATAAAATGCCCTTGGCCAAGGTAAAAGGGACAGTTCTGACTTGGAACACTCCTGGCCCTTAATTCCATTCCCATGGTAGCCAGCCTGTTGGAGAACATTTTTACGCTGCAAAAGTTTGGAAAGGTTTCTAGACATTTTGGAAAGATGACCAAACAGCAATCCAAAGACAGGACAGGGAAGCAAAATCTCAGATTGTTGATGTGTCAAAATTTTTAAATCACTTTTGGCTAAGTTCAAAGTTTAGACCAAAACTCAGGCCGAGGCTTACCCAGCAATTTAGCACAAATAGGAAGAAGAGTGATCTAGTAGATATCAGAACTGAAAATTACCAAAGAAATAATATCTTCTGAAGCAGAATAAAGCTTTTCTTTGACAAACACATGGCTGTCTTGTCATTTGAATTACAAAATAGTGTCCAAAAGAATAGAAATAGAAATTTTGCCTCAATATATATAATGGACAAAATATTATTTGATATATCAAAGAGTTTAGACTTCAAATATGGCTAGTTAGAAAAGCCTATAAGGAAAAAATGTTCAGAAACGTCAGATGTTACATTTAAAGTCTAAGCCATTAGTTTTCAAAATGTAGAGTATAGTGGGTCATGAGGGAAAATTATTTCAAAATAATCTGAAACAATACTAGGACATCATTTGCTCCTACTGATTTACATTTTGAACAATGCACTACAAAAGCAGTGATGAGTAAAGCTGGTGGCATCTTAGCACAATTCAGGACAGTGAACTACTGACCCATGATGCACCGATGGGGATGGTATTCTGCATCACTACTGGGTTGAAAGGAGAAAAAACACAAAGTAAAAAAAGAAAAAAAGAAAAAAGAAAGAAAAAGGCAGTATCTCTCAAGCATGACATTGAAAAAGCAACAAAAACTTTTAATCCAATTAAATCTCAATTCTTCAATATCCCTTTTTAGTATTATGAAAAATCTAATGAGACTATCATAAAGAGTTTCTATTACTTACCAAAGTGCAATGTCTACCGAAAAAAAAATACTCCTTAAATTTTATGTAGTTATTGAGAATCAAGATGGCAGAATAGGGTAAGGGCACATTTAAACAGAAGGAGAAATATTAGCCAGTGTGAAGCAGAGAGGGAACATACCAGGAAATAGGAAAGGACAGAACAATGCCAGAGGTGTACCTGGAGACTGACAGACACAGGAAAGCAGTGAAAACAACAGTATCATGTTGCAGTGACTAATACCCCAGTGGCATTCAGCAAACAGCAGTCTGAACTCCACCAGCAGCCAGAATTCCACCAGCAACCGGGTGGGAAGGGACTTTCACTCGGAGCTCAGGAGGTAAACCCAGACCAAAAAATTGCTCTTCCTGTTGGTTTGTTTGATTTGACCAGGAACAGAGACAGAGCGGCAGGTCCCAGATGAGTGATGTAGGAAGAGGGTAGATTTAACAACCCATTCTGCCCACTAGAGTCATTATGGGCACCATTTTGTTTAAAGAGGGAAGGGCTATGGACAGTAATGGGCATGCACTGAGCTGGAAGTGAACTCATTTCAGTCACAATGTGACATCCTACAGGTTCCACCAAAGACAGATCCGGGTAGCCTTCAGACCTGACAACCAGCAAATCAAGACCTCAAATAGTAGCACATCAGACACCATTTCTTACAGTGTGGCACCTGCTCTAACTGGAAATTGAGAAAAGTTGTACAGACAATGGTGCAGCCTCAGCACAATATCACAGGAGGTAGAGAGTGGTGAGACAGGAGCTGGGGCTACAGAGACCATGCTAGAAATCTAACATAAGAACCCAGACCTAGAACTCGCTGGAGGGAGTGGCACAACTGACTGCAAACATAGAGCCCTATACCAACTGCAATAAGTAAAATCGAACTGTAGACCTGTGGGTGACAGAGCTTAGAAACCTGACCCAAGGAGAAGAATCTGATAACCAGACGTAAAATGACCAAGAGCAAATGAAGAGACAGAGACACAATGAATATTACTGAAGACTCCCCTGTGAAGGAGCAAAACCTTATGCCAACCTCAGAATTCACTGAGGAAGACATCGAGAAAATGGGGGATACAGAATTCAAACACTTCTTATGAAACTTCTTATCAACAATGAGAAGCACATAAATCAGGCATTCAAGGAATTTAAGGAATATGTCACAAATTAAAGCTGCTATATCAGAAATGAAGAATACAATGGAAAAAATTAAAAGTACAGTAGAGATTTTCAAAACAGAAAGAAGGAGGCAGAAGAATGAATTTCAAAATCACAAGATATATACTGTCACCATGGGGAAACAAACAAAAAGCTGGAATCAGAGCTGGATCAGGCCAAAAAAAGCATTTGAGAATTGAAAGACACTATTAAAAGGCCAAATATAAGAGTTAATGGAAGTCACAGAAGGTGCAGAAAGAGAAGCCGGGTTTAAAAATATGTTTAATGAAATAATAAGGGAAAATTTCCCTAATCTAAAGAAAGAATTGTAAAACAAGATCCAGGAGGGGCACAGAACTCCCAACAGGCTTGACCAAAAGCGATCTTCACCAAGACACATGATAATCAAGCTCTCTTCAACCAAACATAAATAAATATCCCTAAATGTGCACTTGAAAAAAAACCTTTGAAGAAAATGATGCTTCTGTGTAATCTATGAGTCATTGAAGAATTTAATCAAGAAAATGTTTTAAAGAGGTGAAACTTTAAAAAAAAAATCAAAATCCGTGAGAAATAGTTTCTGTTGATCTTTGCTGGTGAAATGTGTCTCCTGTGGTCCACAAATAGATGGGTTTTGCTTTTAAAATCTAGCCTACCAATCTACAATATTTGATTGATGAGTTGAAGCCATTTACATTCAGGGTTAATATGAATGGTGGTAATTTGGTCCTGTCATTTTAGCAATGGGTTGTACACTGATTTAGTCTTCTGTTTTTATTTTACTGGGATGTTCTTCACATTTGCCTTTGGTTTTGGTGAGTGTTATTCCTTTTCTCTGTCAAGAGCACATCTTGAAGTATCATTTGTAGGGCAGGTTTGGAAGAGGCATATTCTTTTAACTTTTCTGTGGAGGAATTTTATTTCATTTTCAAAGACAAAGGAAAGTTTTGCTGGGTACATTATCCCGGGCTGACAATCTTTTGCTTTTAGAATCTGGAATATGTTGCTCCATTCTCTTCTAGCCCTTAGGGTTTCCTGTGAGAGGTTTCCTGTGAGTTTAATTGGGATTCCTTTATATGTCAGTTGATTATGGTTTGTTTAGGAGATGGGGCTGGAGGCAGAACTGACCCAGCAATTGTAGCCACTAGTACGTGCATGGACTGATTGAGGCGATGATCTTTGCTGAACCCTATACTGGCAAGCACACACAAAAATCAGGTCTGGGATCACCTCAAAGTTTCTTTGGGGAGCCCCCCCCAGTCGAACTACTGGACTCTGAACCCCAACCATAGAGAGAATTGCAGGTTCCATGGTCTGACCATGGAGTGTATGTGTCAAAGCTAAACCTCCTTTGTGGCTTAAAGCATTGCACAGCATATCCAGGTGCACATGGAGGATATGGTAGTACATTGGATACTGCATAGGACACCTGGTACCACAACGGAGGACAGAACAAATTGATCAACTACCCAGTGGAGACGCTATGGTGGAGTATGTCAGTGGATTCTGAAGAGATTTCATCATGCTTGGAATGGCGAGATTGGCAGCAGTTCAGAACTGTTGAACTATCCAATCTACTTGAGCAGTGCCCTCAGAGCATGCCCCACATCAGGGACCCTGGGATGTTTGGGAGGGTGGGTGTGGCTTCTCCATTTGTCTCCCTCCTTCCCCCAGATACAGAAAAAAAAAAAAAAGAGAGAGAGAGAGAGAATGTGGAAAATGATCTAACCCACTTTCCCATAGCCCTTCACTCTTTGAGCCCTATTCAACTTTGTAAAGATCATCAAAGTTTTTTAAAAAATGAAAAAAATGTAGAAAAAACAGTAATATACTTAAGGTGGTTAGATGGTATGTATTCAGTTTCTTAAGGATTAATACTTAAGATGTTAACTTAGAACAGATTTCTTTTGAATTTTTTACATGTCTTTATTAGACAAATAGATTGCTTTGCCTAGATTTTGTTGTTCTGATTATTTTAACAACCATCACATCTTCAACCATGATTAAAAAGGTGTCATTTTAACTACCAAAAAAATGTGCTCTAAGCCAGCAGGTATTGTGACATCAGCATCATGTCACTGATGACCATATGAATGATTCTGTGAGCTGGGCTGACCGTTATTTGAGTTCTCCAGCTGAACTGCCTTATATGAAGCAAACCACAAAAGAGTGCCTGCTGTTGCCTTTGCTGCTCTCCAAACAGCATTCTATGATGTGACCAGAGAAGAAACCCAGCCAACAGTAAGAGAAAGGCCATTTCATTCTGACATTTCTTTCCCTTAGGATTCTAGTCACATTTCCTAATGTCTTATTGCTTGCTTCACAATGAAAGATGTACAAGTTTCATACCAGAAGAGTAAAAGCTACTGCAGGGAAGATTTGGACTTCAAATCTCTCCAAGATCAGAAAATCTGTTAAAAATGTGTATGAAAAATGTAGGCTCAAACACCCAGATTTTCCTGGATATCCAACAGAGACTTCCTATGATGGCAATCAAGAGGATGTCTGTTCTGGCGAAGACCTGAGTCTTACGGTGATGTGCCAGGATGTTAAAACTGCCCAAATTGAACTTCACAACCAAATGACTGATGTAGTCAAAGCAATATCAAAAATCCAGAGAATGACTGATGACTCTAAGAAGCAGATAGAGCAACTGGAATCTGGCCTGCGGGTTAACGAAGACAAACAATGTGCAACAACTGATGTTATCCTAGCTATGAAGGAGAACATTGACACCTTAACTAAAAAGGTAACAGAACTGGAAAAACAGAATTCCTGCTATCGTGTATGCTCTTCGGGGTATCTGGAGGGAAAAATGGAGAAAGACACCATAGACTTGCTTCACAAGTTCATACAGAAAAAAACCCTGAACACAGTGGCCTCCACTGGCCGTGAGAGCTCTTCAGTGGAGAAAATGCCGCCCAGTTATCCAGAACCTGTTGACCATTTTGAGAAAAAGACAGTCTCTCCCAAAATGAAACCTCTGAGGAAAAAGAAGCACCCAAATTCATCAAGAAATGTAAAAGGGATGAAGCCAGACATTTATATTTACCCAGACCTTACGACATGGGTCAAGCTGACTTTCATTCATGGTGGAAAGTGGGGATTCTTTCTTAGCCCTACCAAGTTGGAGACATTCCTCCAGTGGCTCCTTCCCCGAACAGCCACCATTCCTGAGGAATCACAGCTCACACCCAAAGGGGAGTGTCTGTTGGCCAGACCTATCACAAGCTTTACAGCAATCTGTATGTCTGTCATCAACTATATTTACTGCCTTTTCAGTTCCTCAAAAGAGGAAGTAACTCGGCTGTAGAGATACCTTCTGTTTCGCATGGTACAGAATAAAGGTGATCTGGTTGCTGCAGGCATTCACTCATTTTGGTGCCGATTGTCTACTTCCTAGTAGCTGCTCACCCCCAGGTCTACATTAAGTTAATCATTCAACTACCGTCATCTATTTCCTGCCCATATTCTTGCTTCAAAGATAATTCGTGAAGATACATCCTTTGTCCAGCTTGGTAGTCAGCCAAAAGCAATGAGTTTGGCTGCAGCAAAATATAAGACGCATTTGCTAGTCCCACTGAATTTTCTACATAAATGTGTCTTGGTGGCTTTTGTAGGTGAAAATCATGATACTGAAGACATTCTGTACTGAGAAAATTTTAAAAGGCATAAAGTGAAAAATTATAATTCCAAGACTACTGAAGTTAGCTCTACAAAAATGAGGGGGATTGAAAGGCCAAGTTATTGCAAGGGAAAATTTTAATTCCAAAACATAAACTTTTTCTTTCTACTTCACTTTCATCTCTATTGAACAATAAGAACACAATTGAATATGGCCCTGGCCATCTTTTTTATGGTTTCAGGAAAGAAGACAAATGCCAGGCCCTGTAGGTTTGATACATCTGAAAGGGAAAAAGCAAAGGAGGTATTTGTGAACTGAATTCAATCTTGGCAACAAAATATAAGTTCTCATATGTCATGATTTTTGAGAAATTCATATACCCAACATGGGTTTCATTCCGAAGGTTACTAGAGTCTGTCTCTGCACTGTCTTTCCAAACAGTATCAGAATAAGCTGCAAAACATTGCTTGTTTTAACATCTAGCAAATGAAATCTACCAAGGACATTTTTTGGATCATTTACTATTAAATTACAAACATCCTTGGTGAATGCACTACACTGTATTATTCTCACATAATTTGAAAGAGAAGGGGGCTTTTGGCAGTTAAGAACAGTCCTGTCAGAAGAGGAAAGAGGGGTTAAAATGGACATAGCAAGAGTTGAATGTAATGATAAAAAATAATTTGTCTAGCAGACAGTTGTTAGTAACTACACAATTTTTAAATTCACAAAGCATTTTATTAAATATGTCAATCTGCAATATACCTAATAAAGGCCAGAGTTTACTATAAATGCAATGACTGTTTACAAAGTAAACAAAGTATTGCTCTGGTAAAGGCATTAACAACTGCTGTGTATTGATTGACCATCAGAGATGAGCCCAGATCTGTAAGCAGCAGCCAAGTCCCTTAATTTAGCACACGGGTCAGGATCCATCTATCAGAAGCAGCAGCAAAGTTGGGCCATAACACAGGCAATGGACATAACAAATGACTTACGGAGGGGAAAAACTTAATGCAGCTGGCGTGAGCCTGAGTCGGCTGAACCTCTACAGATTAACACTTTCATTTCCTCCCTCCTTACCAGAACCCATGGACATGCTTTATGGTTACTAGGGAGACACATGGATTTGGATGAATCAGAAGATCTAAGTTCTGAACCTCACACTAAATCCTACACTTAGATCTATTATTTAATCTCAACTACATTTGTCCTGTCCTTTCCAGTTCACTTTTACTTATAAATGTGTTGCTGGTTTTTTTTTAAGTATTTACTTGAAAGAGTCTTCCTTTATTGCCCCTTCACCTCTCCTTATATATTCTTCCCCCCCACATGCTCATTTAGCAGCATATTGGATACAGATAAGTCTAATTAATCTGGTGTTTTTAGCCACAAGCCCCGTTCCTGTTCCTGCCCAGGCTAACGATCACTAATCAACTCCTTAGCCCACAACAGGGCCCCCTTTTTTGTTTTAAAGCAGACTTGAATGCGCACGTCTTAGTTGTGACACTCAGGTTATCAGCCTTACTCATCCTCGGGAATCTCCATAGCATGATGAAGCCCCAGTCTTAGGTTGGTTAGTGCCTCGTCCATCTTACCCATCACTGGCTGCCTTTCAATGTGTTGCCTGCTGCAGCTGCACAAACCATACTTGGGGAGTCTGGTAACCCTGTTTCATGGCAATGAGTATCTTTAGCTTGGTAGCAATGAGCAGACAGCAGTTCCCATGCTTGGGAAACATTTTGCACTTGCACAGATGTTACATACATAAAGACATGATGATTGGGAACAAGAGGCCCTGACCATATCCCACAGCATGTGCCACTCCTCTACCAACAAGACAACCCACTGTTAACACGTAAACATACCCACCTGCACATGTTCATTAGTACAGTTCTGTTGTTCCAACGCTCAGGCAGTCAGTTCTGCAAGCTTGTTTATGGTCTCAGTGGTCACTGTAGGGTGTCCTAGGGTCACTGCTACTGTGGTGGTGGCTGCCGGCATTAGGGCAATGCTGGCTATGATGATCGATTTTATGCCAAAATCTCTTTTACACCTTATAAGGCCAAAAGAGGCTTCTCCATCAGTCCCAACAGGCACAGGCAGGATTCTGGGCAGCTGCATGACAACAGCAGTATCATCATTGCCATTCCAACACGCTGTTAGGGTGCAGCTGACCTTGGTGTAATTCACTTCAGAGACGTTTTCTGTATGTAAGAGAAAAACGGGGGGATAACACAGGCAGACACAGGTTTAAAATTCAAGGAGCTAAGGTTCACCCACGTGAGCGAGTCCTCAAATCCAGAGGAATGATTGAACTAATAATGTCCATAGGAATAATTGCCTCCCTTAACAAGGAAAAAGGGGGGCACATGCCAGTGCATTGCCATACCCCACAAAACTACCACATAGAAAAGGTGGGTATTTTCCCTGTGGTAATAACAGGGGAATGATAAGAAAAAGCATGGGTAGAAATTGAGCTATATTTAAAGGGAGGGCCAGATCCCCAACAGCTGGGGTCACACACTAGGCAGTCTGGTAGTCTGATTTAAGGAGAAACTGGCAGGAAATATCAGGACCTCGGTGCTCATAGGAAAAGGACAAAGAGGAGGGGTGCTTAATGATGACCCAATATACGTCGACCTTCTGACTCAAATGCCATCACCATGGCCAGTACCCGAGCTTTCACAAGACTCTGCAGCAGGAGCTTGCTGGACAAGCCTCTCAGGAATCCACCATGGGCCTTTTTCGTTTTCTGGGAAAACACAAACTGATCCTCGCCCCCATATGAGGACGGGATCTGGGCCTTGCCACTGACCAGTCAAGGGATCCTTCCACATCACAAAACCCTTCTGCTTCTGAGATGGATTCCAATGCCGATCTGCAGCAGACCATCCTTCAGCATCCAATGTTAGAAAATTTAAGATAAATAATACAAGGTTCAAATGATCTCAGGGAGTGCTATACTCCCCTTTTTTGTTTTAATAAGATAATCCTTAATAGTACAGTTGGCACGTTCCACAATACCTTGTCCTTGAGGATTATAAGGAATACCTGTACTTGGTTTGCAGGAGGTAGCAAAAATCACAAAACTTACTGCTAATATAGAAAGGGCCATTATCAGTTTTGATAACTTTGGGAGTTCCCAAATGGAAAAACATGCATAGCAATGGGCTAGAGCATGCCGACTTGTTCCCCTGTCTGAGGAGTAGCCAGAATAAACCCAGAGCAAATATCAACAGTAACATACACATACTTTAGTGTCCCAAGCTGTGGGATGTGTGTCACGTCCATTTGGCAATAATCTTAATATAATTCAATCAACTTGATTAACTGTCTCCACAAAATGGGAGAAAAATCTGTTGGCATCCTTGAGGCCTCATAAGAATACCAAGGGAAGCTCTAGAATTTGAAATTTTTTAATTCTTGGATGCCTTTTTAAAGATGGTTAAAAACACCTGGGCTATGGAAATTTTGGGGTGGTTAAAACAATTCTGAAAAAGTTGAAATTCCAAATAATTAAATGGAGAAATAAGTTCTATTTTCTCTGGGCCTATAGCTAATCTTGCCTCAGCTGAAGAGAGAGACACTGAAGTTGCTCCTGTAAATCCTTCACAGCTGCACCCAGGTTTAATGGTGCCGATGGCACAGGCAGCGCAGAGAGCTCCGTGCCTGGTCAAAAGAGATTTTTGCTCGGCACACGCTCTATGGGCACATGCTCTACTGGTGGAGGATCCTCAGAAGACTCACTTCCATCCTCTTCCCCTTCCTCCTCCTCAGAAGAGGACCGCGAATCTTCTTCGCAGCTTCTCCAGACTTAGTCTGGTCTGGGATTCCTTTTTTACTCTGGTTTGGGGTGTCCTCTCTGTCTTCTTACTCTGGTTTGGAGTTCTTTCTTTCTTATCCTGGTTTGGGGTTCCTTCTTTCTTACCCTGGGTTGCTGCTCCCTTCCCCTTCTTATGGATAATTTTTCAAGGAAGGGTTGCACCTCCACTTGACAGGATAACAGTATTTTTTACCAAGTGCCAGAGGAAAAAGGTGGATACAAGGAGAATAAGCCATGGGAATATGTCGCAGACAGTTTCAACGAACTTCTGCGAAGTCTTAAACTTAGTGTCAATGCCTTGTGACTGGAGCAGATCTCGGATTCTCTTAATCATCTGCAATTTAGCAAGTTTTTGCTCCATGACAAATTTTACTTATGCCCCTGCAAAATTTTTAAATTTGCCTCTAAATTTCCGGGGTCCTTCAGATTGTCCCTCATGCCCCAGGATGGGGAAGAGGTCTGGGGATGAAATCAGTTATGTCCCTTCAGAGTTCCAGGGGTCCCTCAGATTGCCCCTCGTGCCCTAGGACAGGGAGGGCGTCTGGGGATGAAATCAATTATGTCCCTGCAAAATGTTTAAATTCTAAACTTACCTTCATTGGTCTAGGGGTCCCTCAGATTGTCCCTCATGCCATGCCCCATGTTAGGCACCATTTGCTCTGGCCGGCGGAGCCAGTAACGTGGACACGGAGAGGGTCTGGAGATGAAGCAACGACAAGAGACCAGTGATGGTGGAAGTCTCTGCGAAGTCTCTCTTTATTGCGCCTTCACCTCTCCTTATATACTCTTCCCCCACATCCTCATTTAGCAGCATATTGGATACAGATGAGTCTAATTAGTCTAGGTGTTTTTAGCCACAGGCCCCATTCCTGTTCCTGCCCAGGCTAACGAGCACTAATCAACTCCTTAGCTC